GCAGTATTGGCCACCGGCGAAATTGAAGAGGTGTTCTCTCGTGGCCGAGGTGGGCACATAGTCGACATACACACACACAGACACAGCAGACCGACGACTACGCCGGTAAACGCACATGATCGCATGTAAAATATGTAAAGCCAATAAGAGGAAGAAAAAGAGAAAAAAGACAGAGAGCAGAGATGAGAAAGAGCGGAGGCAGAGTTAAAAGTCAGCGAAGTCCTTAACGCATTTCTCGGTAGTGGCAATGCGGAGCGGCTCCTCCTCGTAGTCATCAAAGTTGCTTGCATCACCGGGGCCTTTGCATTTTGGTGTGAAGGGTGCCTCCAACTGAAAGGAAGTTGTGCAAAAAAGGCAGGTTTATATGAGACTGATAGTGTGGGGGGGGGAGGGGGAGCAATGTCGCTTTCTTTACGGTCAACAACTGGGCGTCACCGCATCATGACCTTAAAAGGGTTTATTGGTGATGCAAATTTTGGGCGCCGTCGAAATGACCTCAAACATCTAACTCCTTGAATTGTCAGTTATTGGTCTCCCACTTCAACGACGGTATAATCTGATGGAGCAGGCTCAAGACAGTTAAGGAAATCTAGGATATATGCTTTGAGGCGCACTCTTATATGGTAAGCATGGTTGGGACAGAAAATATCCCATAGAATACGTGAAAAACATGCTACTCTACGTGCTCTATGTGAAAAGGTGGATACGTGGACACCAAGCATAAGTTATCGAATATAGAAATTGCCTCGAGCAAAATCAAAGCGAATAAGGACGCCTAATCTCAAAGGCTGGAATGTCTAGTTTTGGGGGATGGGAAATTCAAAGATGCAGGTGGAAATCGAATTTGAAACCGGACAATCCTTTTATCTGTCACAGACAACTCTACAGTTGTATGCACCGAAGTTAAGTATACATACAACCGGCCGATTGAATGCGAAAATTCACCAGCGGGGTCTGTTGGAGTAAAGACCAGATAAGCCTCAGCGAAGATAACTGTTACATTGAGTGCGACGATTGCCAATCCTCTTACGCGAATCAAACGGACCACAAGCTGGCAAAAAATAGCTGAGGCGACTCAGTGCTCGATTATGTCTCGTTTTCAGAGAACGGATTCGAACAAATGGTTTGACCGAGCTAGACAGCAGATAACTGACAGGAGTTCACGGGAAATTTGAAAACCGTAAGCCAGGAGCCGCTCTGCTGTTCAAATTACAACTGCAAACTCGCCAACAGGACTCCCAGTCGTATATCTGATGCTAAGACCTCTTCTCTAAGGAAAGATGACTAATGACTAACTCTGTGGATTCAAAATAAGGAGATGGTGAATACGCATGTCCTTTGGGAGGTGTGCGCTGTTCAGGTAGAAAATCATTTTGCACTGCGAGCTTTAATATAAATGTTGTTCATTTCGTCCAAAGCCTAACCGACAGTCAACTTCCATATGCATCTTCATGCAGCCCTTTATAACCCCGCCATCACCCGATAATCCCTTCAATCGGCAAACTAAAGAGTCTACGGCCTAAGCTGTATGTAAATCCGAGTTCTGTCAGGAGAGATGAAAGAACCATGCGGTGGCACGCAACTGCCATAACTGCTCTCTCTATCCCCTACCTCAGACACCCAAACGCTAATTTACGAGGCCAGAGGATGACAAGTAGTTCGTGTAGGTGGTCTGGACCAATTCAGATCTTTTTCCCATCAGAGCCACAGCAGAACTCTGCCT